ATTTAATTACCTTTAACAGCTTTAGTTTATCCTTGAATTTTACTCTAGGTCCAGCTTTTGTGATCAATTGATCAATTTCCTGATCATTGAGAAGATACAGACTTTCCTTATCAATTTCTTGAGCTGTAATAAAGTTAAATAGCAGAAATAACGATTATTTATAAAATTACTTCAGAAACAGTTTTTTAAAGGAGTTCTGCATTGATGTATGATTTGAACACATTTAATTCCCTTTTATTTTAAGCAAGTATCACTTTCCAGTCTTAGGACATCTTCTCTTGCACATTTTGTGTAGTAAATATGAAAATGTGTATTAATAGGTATTATTTTTCAGAGTTAACAAAACGTATATGTATCAATATCTGTACCCATCACTGATGCACAGTAATAATTTACCTTCAAATGCCTCAATCCAGTCACTTAGTTTCCATTTAGTCAGTTTGTTTCGCACAAAACTATCCATGACCAAGAATAGAAACTGAAAGAAATTGTAATTTCTGATCCTGTCAAGGTGAACGAGTGGACTCTAGCGCAGAACTAAGGTTTTAATTAAAGAGAGTTTATTTACAGTGTCACCAGGCGCTATAAACAACCGTGCAGGGCAATTAGTGCTCCCGGGAATCCAGGGGAAAATGAACACGTCCAAAACTCCTCTTCTCAATCGCCAGTCCCTCACACGTTCTCTTTTGTACGATACACGACGTCCACATACGAATATCCAAACTCACGTCAAAGACAAGGGGAAATAGGGAAGCGTCCAGTAGGGTCTGTACACGGGAAGAGAACACAAACTAGACATCCACAGAAACACGAGCGCCACGATCCAGCGATAAGTAACACAGAGCCGCCGCCCTGCGCAGCAGGTGAGTGGAATAATTGCAGGTGCGCAGGCCAAGAGCGTGGACCAATGACTGTAGAAAATGTGGGCGGCCTGACAGCTCCCCGTTATGCTAGCTGCATTGTAGATCATAAACCCCGCCTCCTCCGTGTTAACGGATGGCACTGGGGTCAGACAGACTAAAATGAAAGCCTTCTCCTCAGAAACCTTTTTTCTAGAGTTCCATCTGCTATTTTAAGTAGTTCTTATCACATTAATTTGGGTTTAAGGAGTCATTTTTCTCACAAATGTATTTTAATCATAACTAGATGCTGTAATGCAGAGGCGGAGCCAGACATTTG